ATCTAGTTTGCTGTTTTTTACTCTTAACTTTTGTAGAAGTGAATTTGACTCTTTTTAGACCTACATCTTGTAAGCTCAGATGTCTTAATAGTACAGACAAAATGTTACCACAAATTGCTTTCTTGTGTAATATTATTCGAGCTGTTGCGGTCATCTCAGTGGGACTGAACACAAGAGTTAAGACTGGTACTGAAGTCCATTTAATATTATTTATTCTACCGGTCATTCAGATCTTAATTCTCCATTTCCTCTTTCCTTGCACTACAGCACTTGGGCTTATTGTACTTGGACTACAGCAGCGGAATAACAGACTTATACTCTATTTCGGGATGGCTTGCTATTTTAATGCTAGGTAACTTCCTAGAAAAACTGTTTTAAGTGGCTTTTTTAAATAACATAATTCTCACTCTTCATCTGTTTCAAAGGAAGCCAGATGAAACATGAGGAAGATTGCACCGAGGAGAACTTGAGAGCTTCCACCATCTCCATGTAAAGAACATTTAAATACACCCGTCTTATTTGTAATAATACAACTTTCTTACTCTTTTTTTGTAATTACTTTAAAAAAGAGTGACCTTAAATAGTGATATGAGCAGCATATAAATTTAATAAAAATAAATAAATAGAAATCAATACCTCACAAATGAAGACGAATGTACGTGTCTCAGGATAATGTTGCAGGATCCAATCTGTATAGGTCGCTGGTGCTAAAGCCCATTTTCAGGGAACATCTCTCTAGCTAGAGAAGTTCCCTGAAGATGGATTCTAGCACAAATCCGAAAGCTCGATCCATACCTGTCTTTTTTTTAAAAAATAATGTTTTTATCTTGTATACAATTGCTGTATTTATTAAGTACACTTTACTAAAATTTTAATAGGTGCACTTCGAATGAAAACAAATAATAGGGAACTACAAAAATAACAACCAAATAGTTCAAAGCAAGAACCCATTGCACTGAAAAATCATCTAGAAAGCTGTACATTTTAAAACCCAAAACCAGAATCCCATAGCAAATACAGAAAGTAGTCATAAACACACACGGATAAACAGCCAGCTACTAAACCACTTGTGGACTTGAATGCTCCTGAGAATTAAATATTCCAATAAAAACAAGAGAAGAGATGGAAACACAAGTTTCTTATTATCACACTTCATATCATAAAATATAGAGGTTAACTTACTTTGGGCAGAAGTTGTGCAACAAACTGGGTTATACAAATATTTTCTATTGTTGCACTGTCTTAAATTCAGCTTGTCATAGTTTAACTTCAAGCACATTGTGCTCTCAAATCATCCTAAGCATATCTATAGTTTCAACCCACTGACAAATCATTACTGTGCCAGCAACATCTTTGAGGCCATGTGAAGGGGGAAAGCAATTCAACAAATCAAATATAATTGAAACCAGGTAACTATTAGAGTAAAATAAGCTGTTTTTCCCTAGATCCCTTAGTATTAGAATTACATAAATTACAAATACAATACAGTGTATTATCTCTCTCCTGGAAAATAAATAAAAAGTGAGACGTTTGTATCTGAACTTGATGTTAGCCATGTTAATTCCTGGGTGTGAAGTATAGGCTAATGTGTGTTCTGTGGATTTGTAGTTTCAGTTTAAAAAAAGGAAGCTTTCAGTCAAAGGAGAACAATTTACAGGAATAAATTTACACTTAGCAATAGCATTTAGACTTATATACTACTTCACAGTGCTTTACAGCCCTCTCTAAGCTGTTTACAGAGTCAGCATATAATCCCCAACAATCTGGGTTCTCATTTTACCCACCTCGGAAGGATTTTATACTGTTTGTACAATTAGTAAAGTATATGCTAAAACCAACAGAAAAAATAAGATGGTACTGTTTTAATGAATGATCATGAACCATAAACAGAATAAATGTATGACTAATATCTGCACTATATCCTTTCTTCTCGAGTTATTTATATTCCACCTTGCCTCCACTCTAGTTCTATCTGTTTTGCAAATGAATTTGTAAAAGCTCTTCCTGGGAGACCTGTGTTGTACAATAAGTAAAACACATAGATTGGAAATAAAGAATATCCTAATAAAAAATTAGAATCAAATTGGAAAGAAGCTTGGAAATCTTCAAGCCCAATCCCCTGTCTAGCACTGGAATCTTCCTACCATCTCTGACTAATAGCTGTCCATTTTTTTACCTCCTTTATTCCAGTACAGGAGCACCTACAGCTTGAGGAGGCATGCTGTTGCATTGCAGTTAGGAAATTCCCCCTTAATTCAAGCATGGATTACTCACTGTAAACCTTCTATCCTTGATTTTTGTCTTAGCTACTTTCAGTACACTGGAAAATAAATCAATACCCTCTTCCTTGTGGTATCCCTTCATGTATTGGAATATTGCTATCATACCACCCTTTAGCCTTCTCTTCTTTAGACTAACCACACCAAGTTCCTTTACCCACTCATAAGATTTGGCTTCCAAGCCTCTCACCATCTTTTTTTTTTTTTGCTGTTCTCTGTTCTCTTTCTTGTTTCTCAGTGTCTTTTCTTATTATGGTCTCCAGAACAGGACACAGTTTTTTAAGTGTGATCTGACCAGTGCAGCATAGACTGGGACTATCCCTTCCCATGATCTTGAAATTCTATCTCCATTCCAGGTAGTAGTCCTCCTCTGTAATAGGCAGAGGGAATGGCCTAAACTTAACTTACCGTATTTTTCAGAGTATAAGACGCACCTTAGTTTTTGGGGAGGAAAATAAGAAAAAAGCTGATTGGCAGGTGGATCAGCCTCCCGGAATACCCCCAATCAGCTATTCTCAGAGGTGAATTTTAGCAACAGGTTCCTTGGTTGTGAGCTCTGTGCCTTGCTTTTTTTTTTCTGCCTCTGAAACTTCTGAAACTCTGTTTCAGAAAAAACTTTTTTTCCTGCCTCTGAAAGCCTCCGAAACAGAGGTTCAGAAAAAAAGCCTCTGAAGCTCTGTTTGGGGGCTTCTTTTCTGAAGCTTCTTTTCTGATGCTTTTTTCAGCCTCTGAAACCTCTGTTAGAGAAGCTGGGCAGGGCTACATTTGGAGTATAAGACGCACTCAGATTTTCACCCTCTTTTTTGGGGGAAAAAGGTGCATCTTATACTCCAAAAAATACGATAACTTAAACTTAACTTAAACATTTGCTCTCAGGACCCCTTTCCACTTTTAAAAATCACAGACAATTCCAAAGGTGCTTTTGTTTGTATGGATTATATTTACTCATATTTACCACATTAAAAATTAAAATCGATGCATTCGCTGCTGCTTTTCATGATTGTTTGATTGGATTTTAATACTGCATTATTTTTCAACATAGACTGGGAAATAATTTGATTTTGTGGACCCCCGGACAGATACTTTAAGAAGCATTGGCCTAGAAGAACAGGAGGAAAAGCTGCTACCAAGACAATGGTCAGATAAAAGAAACCTAAATCTGGGAGTGGAACCTGAAAAATGTAATCTGAAAAAATGTCTTAAGACATGATCTTCCCTAGGTCTTACAAACTCTGTGTGTGTGCGTGCGTGCGTGCGTGCGCGCATGTGTGTGTAATGCATTAAGGTTTTCATGATTCTATTTCTGTATCTTTATAATAAAAAGTAGTGTTAACCTGCCTGACTTTGATTTCCTAGTCTGGTCTATATTGAAAGGATGACATTGTCCCCATTCAAATTTAGTTTAAAGCTCTCCAGATAACCTCAGCAAGATATCTTCCAGTTTGGAAGTATGTATGAAAACACTACCTGTGCCCCAAGTTACTTTGCTCATAGACTCATAGACTTGAAAGACACATAATTTTTCAGTATTCTTCCCAAGCTCTCTCTGGCAGTGTCACTTATTTCAGCATGAAATAATGGTTAATAGATTTGATTATTTAGGTCTCATCTTGTATCTTCATCCCTAGGGAACAACATACTGTTTTGATAGGATGTCTGATCTGCAGGCTGTTTATTCTTCTTCTCAATAGGGAGTCACCCATCACCACCACCCATCTCTTACTCTTTGGGGAAGCCACTAGATTTCTTGTCTCTGTGATAGTATGACTTTCTTTCGTGATGCTGTGATGCTTGGTGAAATCTCTTCTCTACAATCTGTGAGTCTTCCTTCAGGTGGAGGAAGTTGGAATATTCTAGTTTCCCTATTCTACATCAACTTGCCAAGTTCCAGTCCTATCAGAAGGGTTAGTTAAAAAGCAATACATATTCAAAAGTTTAATTATGTTTTGAACCGATTTTGGTGAAGGAATCATGGTCTCCAGGACTGCAGATGATTATATCCTCTATAGCATGGATACAAAGAAAGTTTTTTTAAAAAAGATGATTGGAATTTCCCAGGAAAATAAAATAATGAAATAAAATAAAATAAAATCATAAATAAAATAAAATAAAATAAAATAAAATAAAATAATAAGCACGGCAGATATCACGGTTATTGAGGGCCGAACTGTACAGTTTATTGATATTGCTGTAGCAGGAAACGCCAGAGACGAAGAAAAAGAACTGGAAAAAATCACGAAATATCATGACCTGGCCACTGAAACTACACGGTTAGGGATGAAACATGTAACAGTGATACCCATTGTCATTGGAGCACTTGGTACCCTATCCAAGAATTTTACAAAACACATCAAGAAATTGCAGCTTCCTGCAATAACACCAGCGGAACTGCAAAAACCTGCACTACTCAGAACATTGTATATTTTAAGAAGATACTTGGTTGATATCTAGGATGCTAGCAGCAACCCGTATCAGCCATTAGCACCAGTCAATGGTATTTGTGACACATTTTTAAATGCCCAGTTGACTGAGTTTCATGTTTAATGAATAAAAGAGATAATAATAAAATTCTTATTATTTGCCAAGTGTATTATCCCTTTCCTGTTAGGGCCATCTTCTGTGACTGAGAATTAAGATTATTGTTATACAAACATGATCAGTTTAGGAAGGGGAGAATTGGAGAAAGAAAAAGTTGAATAAGTTTATATATCTCTGACATACCTCCAGTTCTGGTGACTGCTTCATAATTTTAAGAGCAATATAACTGCCAATTGAGTGTCCAATAAGTATGAGCTTGACATCTTTTGGCACATACTTTCGGAGGAATTTCAACTTGTGTTCAACTTGTCCTTGAAGCCCAAAAACATCATCGGTGTCATTCGAAACCATCTCTATAAACAACCAAAAAATAATAATAAAATTATATCCTTTGCTTTGAAGATGATTCATCACATTCACTGTAGCTTTTTAAAACTGCTTTCAAAAATAATCCAGAAATTACCAAGAATACTCATAGACCTTCTTTTAGTGATAATTATTAAATGTTGTTCAATTACTTGTAATAAATAGAACATTATCAATAAAATAGTAACACTAATTAAAACTTATTTAAATGCACAAAATAAAATTAACCAAAAATAATATAAAAGCTTTTAAATTTTTCCAGAGAGTTAGCAGAAAGGAACATTCTGAATTCTTGGAGGAGGACAAAAGAAACATGTAGAATTGCCATAAAGAACACTCTGTTGTGATATCCCAATTTCTATTTTTCCTGTAGGAACAGAAAACAAGCCATGGATGCTGATCTTAAAGACTAGAAAAGCCCACAAAATGGCAGCATCTTAAACTGAATCTTGAAACCAAAAGGCAGGTGAATTATTTTTTCGGGTAACAGTGAGCAAAAATTATGTTGCTGGACTACCTTCACAATGACAACTCTTAACCATTTGCATCTTAAATCCCATTCTATTAAGGGCTTGGAACCCCACAATTTTAGAAATTTTATTTTATTCAGAGAATTTGTATGTTTCAAATTCAAATGTTCCCTCCAAAGTTTGGAAAATGTTGATATTATTCAGCACCTTAAATGATTCTCAACCTTTTGCACTTTATGTCCAACTCCAATACTTCACTAAATAACTTTCTTTTATATCAAACAAGATAGGGACTTTTTTGGGGAGGGGGAGGAGTCATAAACATGTTTATAATCATTCCATTATTATGTTTATAACTTACAGTACATTTTAAACACCTAAAAATTTAAGTGACTGACTTAGTCTACATCTGAATGCCATCTGTGATAGATATGCACTTAATTGAGAACTATCTGTTTTTAAAGAAAGGATGGCCAATTTTCTCATGCTCAGAATCTACATTTTTTGTTTTTCGAAAAAATGTTCAGCCTCCAGGAGATGCAGGGTACATGCCCAGGGTTGCAATGTGTCACCATCACAGACAAAGACAAAAGGTGAGATGGGCAGCTATATAAATCTAATAAATAGCATAAAATACTCATAGTCTTGGAGACATTCACTGGGTAATATAATTTCAAATGCATTCCTCCACTCTGCTTCATTTTATGAAATAAAAGCTTATTAGAAGAAAAAAATGCTTGTGAAAATCTCATTCAAATATTCTCTTCTATGGCAAACCTTCATTCCACTTTAACAGACTACATCTGGTATGGTATAAATAGCAGAAAGTCAAACTAAGATCCAGGTTCAAATCCAGTCAACAATGAGAGGGGGAGAGAAAAAACAAAGAAGAGAACCTGTTTCTGTTTAGTATTCCTCTTCCTAGGTTGCTCAGATGAGACAGTCAAGGCGAGATGACATTCACTATTTAAGAGTTTCTTGCACAGGGCTGTCTATGGTAACGTGTTTGGCATCATGCTGAGGACATGAAGAACCACTTATTGAGTGTGCTCTCATAGGGTCCCCGCGTAATTAGTTGTTTTTTTAAAATGCCACAAAAAAGTAATTGTTGGGTATAAAATGATAATTGCTTCAAGAAAACAGGATCTTCTACTGTTTATTGTTTAGTGTTCAATGTTTAGCCTTTTGTTCAAATCTTAAACAAATTAAACCAGGGATGGCCACAGAAAAAGCTCTGAGAAAGCCAATTAATACTGCGGGTAAACTGTCCTTAGAAACATCCTGCCATGATTTATGCTATTGAATTAAAAATGGAAGAGGCGGAAAGGAGAATGAGAGACAGAAATAAACGGTATGTCCCCTCCTCTTTACCTCCTCAAAATAAAAAAAAGACAAAAACAATCTTTTGCCCATAAAAGTTTTAATTTTTTTTCACTTATTATACAGGTAATGGAAAATAAAAAGTTTTGTAGCAAAGGCCTTAGGCCAAAGCACTGTTTTCAGACGAAGGCCTATTTTTAGGCCAAGTTGCTCCAGTTATTTTTTCATCCAGTCCGTAGCCAAGTATTGTGTTGTAAATTGAATATCTAATTCATCCTATGAGAAGTATTGTCTTGAATTATATGAAACTCTCAAGTAACACAAGCTTAAGGTATTTTGGGGTATGATCATTTCTCATGTCTTTCCTTTCTCTTATTCATTCAACAATTAAATGAAATGGTTCAAATAAAGGTATAGAGAGTAGTATCTTCATGTACCCAGAGTTATGTATATTGGTTTTTCTGCCCTGGTTTTAAAAAATCATTTAGTTAAAATAAAATGAATGTTTCTCAATTTTTTATAGAAGCAGAAACTAAACTCAGAAAAGGAACAGATAAGAACAGCTAAGATCACATTTCAAATATCCGATGGACAACAGAAGAGGAAAAAGAATTGATTTTTATTTTTATTTGTTTGCTTTCCTGTGCATAATAAGACCTTTAATCGACTACAAGAAATTGTGGATAGTCTTTAAAAAATATTGACATAGCAGACCACCCCATCTTCAAATAATGTGTTCAAAATCAAAAAAAGATTATGTCATGGTTGTATACTGTCAACCTACTTATTTAATTTATGTGCTGAATAAAATGGAACTCACAAAATATTTGTTATGTTGGAGAACTTCTAAAATAGAGGAAATGTACTGGGGGAAAAAAGCCACAAGGATGCATTCTAAAGGAAAGGCTAAAAGTATAATGGTGAAACTGAACTAATTTAATTACATTTAAATCACAAGTGAAAAGATATCAATGTGTTTCTACACCTAGAGCAAGAAAAGAGATCACACAAGGTGTTGTAGTTTGGATCTTATCCAGTTTTAATTTTCTGTAAAGATTAGCGCAAATGCATAAGAAAGAGTTTGTTTTGAATTCTTCAGCACATGTGCGGCAGCCAATAATGTCCAGAATATCAAATTAGTTGAAGCCCTCTTCTCGTATTCATTTAGCATCTTGCTGACATCTTACATACCCTTCAAATCCCACAAATGAACTATGAGTTGGGACATGATTTGTCTTCAAGAGATTTCTCCCCAAGCACAGTGCCTTTTCAAATCTCTAGCTGGCTGTTTTAGAGGTAATGCACATTGTTATTTCTCAAGGAGGGAGTTAAGAATATAAATCGAAAACCACAGTATTGCTCATCTCAGTGAACTGTGACATAACTCCCTGAAACTGGGACACCAGAAAATATAAATGTTTCTTTTCCACAAGTTTCAAATTTATAAAGAAATATCTTTCAGCCCTCCCCTACTTAGAATATCATCTGCATCCAATTATAGAATGGATGATGGTATCAGCTAGAGAACAACTTATGTCATGGAGTGAAAGGCTGAAAATATCCATAGACAATATGCGCACGCGCGCCCTTCCCCCCCCCGACTCTAACAGGAATGTGGACAATGAAAGGCCTCAGTAATATAAGATTTGAAAAAAAGAAAAAAAAGTGTTCCAATCCATATCCTTGCTCAAAAAAATGGCGCGTTTGTGGGGAACGGAGAGAAGAAATATTACTTTTAAAGTAGAATCGGCAAACTTGTTTTTACAAATTAAATTACATAAAGTAAACTGGTAAACACAATGTCCTGTTTAATATAGAGAATGTGATTTTTAAATAGAAACACATCAAAATGAACATTATAGTTATAGTAGCATAAAGCAAGGGGGCAAAAAAGTGTACTTGATATATTTGCACCAGGGGTGGGTTCTACTTATCTTTACTACCGGTTTGCAGCGGAGCCGCACGTGTGGGCTAGCGCAGAACCATTTTGATGACATCGGGGTCGGTGGGCGGAGCCTCCCGCCAGTTTTACTACCGGTTCTATAGAACTGGTGCGAAGCGGGGGCAACCCACCACTGATTTGCACACAAGTATTTAGAGGGATAATAGGAGCTGGGTGACCTTGGGCCAGTTACTCCTCAGCCCAACTCACTTCACAGAGTTGTTTTATTTATTTATTTATTGATTATCAAATTTATATACCGCCCTTCTCCCAAAGGACTCAGGGCGGTGTACAGCCAAAGTAAAAAACATAGATACAAACATTAAAATACAGTTAAAAAGATATATATGCGTTTGGCCCCATAATTAAAAGAACAATAACAGACCTATTAAAAACATTTTAAAAAGTGTTAAGCCAGCCTGGCTTGCTGAAAAAGAAAGGTCTTCAGGGCACGGCGGAAGGCACCGAGGTCATGAATTCTTAGTATCTCTGGGAGCAGTTGATTCCAGAGGGCAGGTGCCCCCACAGAGAAGACCCTCCCCCTGGGGGCCACCAGTCTACATTGCTTGGCTGATGGCACCCTGAGGAGGCCCTCTCTGTGGGAGCGCACAGTTGGTGGGAGGCCATTGGTAGCAGCAGCCAGTCTCGAAGATATCCAAGTCCTATGCCATGGAACGCTTTAAAGGTGATAACCAACACCTTGAAGCGCACCCGGAAGACCACTGGGAGCCAGTGCAGCTCACGCAGGAGAGGTGTTATACGGGAGTGCCATGCAGCTCCCGTAACTACCTGCGCGGCCGCATTCTGGACCAGTTGGAGTCTCCGGGTGCTCTTCAAGGGGAGCCCCATATAGAGAGCATTACCGTAGTCCAGGCGAGAGGTGACGAGGGCATGAGCGACTGTGCACAAGGAATCCCGATCTAGGAAGGGCCGCAACTGGCGGATCAGACAAACCTGATAAAAGGTCCGCCTGGCTACAGCCGTCAGATGTTCCTCCAAGGACAGCTGCGTATCCAGGAGGATGCCCAAATTGTGAGCCCTCTCCATGGGGGCCAAGGACTCGCCCCCAATAGTCAGTGATGGAGTCAACTGACTATATCAGGATGCCGGAAACCACAGCCACTCAGTCTTGGATGGGTTGAGCCTGAGCCTGTTCCTCCCCATCCAGATCCACACAGCCTCCAGGCACCGGACATCACTTCAAGGGCATCATTGGGGTGGCCCGGGGTGGAAATGTACCGCTGGGTGTCATCAGCGTACTGGTGGTACTTCACCCCGAAGCTACAGATGATCTCACCCAGCGGCTTCACATAGATGTTGAACAAAAGGGGCAAGAGAACCGACCCCTGGGGCACCCCACATATGAGGCATCTCGAGGTCAACCTCTGCCCCCCTGCCAACACAAACTGCGACCGGTCCGAGAGAAAGGAGGAGAACCACCGTAACACGGTGCCCCGCATCCCCAACTCTTCCAACCGGTGTAGCATGATACCATGGTCGATGGTATCAAAAGCCGCTGAGAGGTCTAACAGGACCAGAACAGAGGAGCAACCCCTGTCCCGAGCCCTCCAGAGATCATCTACCAATGCGACCAATGCCGTTTCCGTGCTGTACCCGGGCCTGAAGCCCGACTGGAATTGATCTAGATAAGACGTTTCCTCCAGGTATTGTGGAAACTGTCGTGTGACCACACTCTCAACAACCTTTGCCACAAAGCGAAGGTTGGAGACGGGACAGTAGTTGGCTAATACTGCCGGGTCCAGAGAAGGCTTCTTGAGGAGAGGCCTCACCACCGCCTCTTTCAAGGCTGTGGGGAGGTAACCCTCGCTCAGTGAAGCGTTGATAATTCCCTGGAGCCAGCTTTGTGTAACCTCCCAGGAAGCCATACTAACCAGGAGGGATACGGGTCCAGCAAACATGTGGCCGCACTAAGTTTCCCCAAAATCCTGTCCACGTCATCAGGGGTCACAGAGTCAAACTCTTCCCAGATAACATTCTCAAGACTATTCGTCGCCACCCTGCCCGAATCTACCCAGTCAGAGTCCAAATCCCCCCGAATCTGTGCGATTTTGTCATACAGATATTGTCCGAATTCCTCGGCCCTGCCTTCCAGGGGGTCCTCCCGCACTCCCGGATGTAGCAGGGAGCGGGTCACCCTGAACAGGGCGGCCGGATGATTATCTGATGACACAATAAGAGCGGAAAAGTAATTAAACTTTGCCGCCTTTATCACCACTAGGTAGGTCTTAATATGCGACCTTACCAGTGTTCGGTCAGATTCAGTGAGACTGGCCCTCCAACTGCTCTCTAGGTGTCTTTTCCGGCACTTCATCTCCCTCAGCTCCTCGGTAAAGCATGGAGCCCCACAGGATCGGCACCGAGTCAGAGGCTGCAAAGGCACGTTGTAGGGAAAATAGGAGGAGGAAGGTGTATTGATATGTTTGCTGCCTCGAGTTACTTGTGAAAATAATAAAGGCAGGATACAAATGAATGAAAAGTAAAAAGGTAAAGGTTTCCCCCTGTCCAGTCATATCCGACTCTAGGGGACGGAGCTCATTGCTATTTCCCAGGAGGGGAAGCCAGCCAGTGGCGGGATTCAAATAATTTAACAACCAATTCTCTGCCCTAATGACTGGCTGGGTAGGCGTGGCCGGGTGGTCATGTGACTGGGTGGGTGTGGCCAACTCGACATCACTCATCACACCCAGCCCCACCTCCTGGCCATTCGCCTCAAAGGCAAAGGTGGGATTCAGCCGGTTCGGACCGGTTCGGACTAATCCCACCACTGTATGGCCTCACCCCTACCCATTTTGTGGCCTGTTTTGAAGTCCACAAGTCTTAAAGTTGCCAAGGTTGGATACCCCTAAGCTAGATGTTCTGATAAATCAGTGTTTTTCAAATTTGGCAACTTTTAAGATGTGTAGACGTCAACTTCCAGAATGCTGCCTGGGCAATTCTGGAAGTCCACACATCTTAGAATTTTTTTTTTTTTTTGCTTTAATTTATATGCCGCCCTTCTCCGGAGACTCAGGGCGTCTTACAATGCGTTAAGCAATAGCCTTCATACTTTTGTATATTTATACAAAGTCAGTTTATTGCCCCCACAATCTGGGTCCTCATTTCACCTACCTTTGAAAGGATGGAAGGCTGAGTCAACCTTGAGCCTGGTGGGATTTGAACTTGCAGTAATTGCAAGCAGCAGATGTTAATCTGTTAACAACAGTGCTTTAGTTTGAAAAACCCTGTCAAAAATGGGCAAATTAAGGTCCTTTTTAGGGATTTGTGCTTTATTACAGATTATCCTGAGCAGCATATCTATGAAGGAAGACTCTAATAGAAACATGCTATATGCATAAAAATATAGAAAGGCATCTAAGGATCACTAATTTCCCCATCTTCATGGACCATAATTTATGAGAAGTTCGCAATGATCTCAACAGAAGTTTTCCTCAGTTCTGCTTTGCCTGAATATGCAATATCTATGCTCTGTCATTGAGCTGTGATAATTCTGGCCCTAAAAATAGACACAAAGTTCTCTCAATCACAAGAATTGTCCTCCTCTGTCTTTATTTATATTCTGGAATAGTCAGATAATGAGGAAAAGCTGAGCAGGAGAGATACACGGACAGACATTATTATTGATCTGATTTATCCTAGAACTGTTATCACTGGAAATAAGGGGCTTTTACACTGAGATTCCTTCCCTATCCCACCCCATTACTGATGTAGTGATATGAGGAAAAGGTCCAAGTTGGTGGAAGGATTTTTGACCCACTTTCAAGCTTATTTTCTCAGAATTGGTTCTAAAACTAGATGTAAAGTTTATTAGTACAGAAATTGTAATTGGAGCAAAGAAGGAAGCAGGGGACTTTAGGAAGACAACA